TCCAATCCCTGTACCTTTTGGAGAATATCAGTCTGTCCCTGATGTTTTTCCTGGAGAGAAGTGGGTTCTTTGCTGCCCTTCTTGACCCCAGGCCATCCTCCAAAAGTCTTCGCCTCACTGTGCGTGCAGATGCACTCACACCTGCCAGCTGCCATTCCTGAGCAAGCTCTGCACTGGTGGTGCCCCGATCCGGCAGCTGAATCAACTTTAGGAGACGGTCCTGGTGTGTGATCTCTAGCCTTGTCCTCATCAACACTCTCACCTGTGTTAATGAGAGATTCACTGACATGATGTCAGCTGGTCCTTTTTTGGCAAGGCTAAAATGGAGAGGAAATGTTAATGGAGAAGAGGGACTTTGCAATTAATTGCAATTCATCTGATCACTCTTCATAACATTCTGGTGTATATGCATGCATGGTGTATAATTGCCATCATAAAAACTGAGGCAGCAGACTTTGTGAAAATTAATATTTGTCATTCTCAAAACTTTTGGCCACGGCTGTACTCGCCAAGACAGGCATTTTGACAATTTTGTATGTATTTTGGCCGTTTGCGCGCAATAAGGTGCAAAACATAACTCAATTCTGTCATTGCGCGCTGTTTCAGAGGCGGCTTTATGTGTGTGCGCTTTGGGTGTGGCTGCACTGAAAACAGTCTATAAGAGAGCACGGGAGTACTGTGTATGGTTCAATTTCACATCTTTTTGCGCTTGAAGTGCTTAAAGTCACTTGAATGTTTAAATTGGCAAGACTTAAGCACGTACAAATGATACATTCCGTCATCTGTCATTGCGTTATAAGCGCGGAACCTGCGGGAATGAGTAGAATTATTATTAATACCCGCAATCTTGCACCGAAATTCAAGCCCTGCTTCTGTCTCCTCCGCTAATTCCTCGACTGTGAATGATGTGAGTGGCGTCATTGTGATGTCACGGAGAAGCTGCAGCCGTGGCGGGGATGATTTTTGGTGTGGCGGCCCGCCACGGCAGAATGAATGTGGCGGAAAGACCGTTCTTTCTATTCATTAAGGAATTTGGTTTCCTCAAATATTAAGCAGCACAACTGCTTAATATTCAACATTGCTAAGAAAAATTTCATGAGCAGCATATTAGAATGATTTCTGAAGGATCATGGGACTGAGGTAATGGCTGCTGCAGTTTCAGCTTTAACAATTGTTTTAAATTGTAATATTTCACAATATTACTGTTTGTACTTTGTACTGTATTTTTGATCAAATAAATGCAGGCTTGGTGGGCATAAGAGATCCCTTTCAAAAAACAGGCAAACACAATCTCTTACAGACCGCTAGCTTTTGAACGGCAGTGTAAAATTCAATGGACAAGTTCTGCTAAATTCTATTTAAGTTCACTGCTAAACCTCACTTATCAACACATTGCCAGCTGTTGATGGCCTTTTGATGGCTGTGCTCCCAGTAAACAAAACCAGAAAATTGGTGGCATTGTTGGTTCATTTGGAGAATTTCATTATTTCATTATAACACTTCACTTGGGGTGAGGAACCTGACACTACTTTGTACTACGCACTGGACGCCCTGTATGTTGTGAAACCTGATCGTCTGTCTAGTCCGCCAGCTTGTAAAGCCTGATGACCATGTGGTGACCTGCTGAATCAGTGGTCTGAGATGTTCTTTTGTAGGCAGGCAGTGGCGTGTCATCTGTTTGCTTGCTAATCTCCCACACGCGCCGAGTGTGGGTGATCCACAAAGGGATATGCAGATCTGTCCACTCAAGCTGAATACTGAGATGACATGGATGGTCATTAATATTATGTTTCAATGTTATACAGATAATTGAGAAGAGACCAGGCCACAGTCGGAACCGTGTTTTCAGGGAGGTGGAAATGCTCTACCAGTGCCAGGGCCACAGGTATGGGAATCCCTGTGTGACACTACTGGTCTGTTCAAAACCTCTCTAAGGCAAAATTGCATGTAACGGCCACAGAAATCCCAAAGTGCATTGCAACAAACTCTGTGGGGGGGAAAAAATAAATCCAAACGAAATTTCGTTTAATACTCTAAACTAAATGATTGATTTGAGAATTGCTCTGATATAATTACTGATTATTTTTCCCAGTATTTATGCTTTTTTTTTTATACTTGAAGTATTATGCAGTTAGCTTAGCTAAATGCAAACAGCATTGAAATCAATTGTGGTTGAGTATTGTGACTGTCAGGATGCTGCCTTAAAGACTGCTGCCTACATTGACCACAAGACTGCTTACTTGGTTTTGGAAGAACGCTTGTGAAGCTCATGAAGACTAATTGGAAAAAGCTTCCTGTAAGATACCATGACTAATGTTAATTTTTTTTTTTCTCACCACAGAAACATTTTGGAATTGATGGAATACTTTGAGGAAGAGGACAAATTTTATTTAGTCTTTGAGAAACTGAGAGGTGGTAAGTTGTTTTTTTGTGTGTATGGAAATTAGTACTGCTGATATTGTGCATTAAAATACAACATTTATGTATTTAAAATACAAAGTTATTTTTTTGATAAAATACATGCAGCCTTAGTTAGCACAAGACATTTGAAAAACATTTAAAAAAAATCTTACCTACCCTAGACTTTTGAACGCGTGTGTGTGTGTGTGTGTATTCATTTTGTAATTAATCTATAATCCTAACTCTTCATGCATCCATTTGATTTCCCAGGTTCTATCTTGACTCACATACACAGAAGACAACACTTCAATGAGCAGGAAGCCAGCATAGTGGTGCAGGACATCGCCAGTGCTCTGGACTTCCTACACAACAAAGGTTGAGAACGTTAGTGTTGATACAACGTAATGTTATCATGCACATATATATATATATTACCAACATAGATGATTGTTTGTTATGTCTCGTTATAGGGATGGCACATCGAGACCTAAAGCCAGAGAACATCCTCTGTGAACATTGTGACAGGGTGAGTCTCTCTCTGTACATGAGGAGACATGAGACATCTGAGGAGAACACGCATGCACTGCATTTCTGACCAGATTTTTGACAAATCTGTTTGGTACAGTAACATTTTATGTGCTTTTTGTGCTCTAGAACAAAAACATGAATTGAGCCGGTTATCTGTTTAGGAATACTCAATGGCCTACTTCTTAACTCATTTCATTTCAGACTGTGGCATTTGAGATTTTTTTTTTCTTTCTTTTCTGTAGATCTCTCCAGTGAAGATCTGCGATTTTGATTTGGGTAGCGGGATCAAACTGAATAGTGACAGCTCTCCCATCTCCACCCCTGAGCTCTTGACTCCAGTGAGTTTAACCCATATTAATGGTTGACTGATATGGACTTTTTGATTGCCGGTATCTTAGATAGCAGGGTGGCTGATGACCTATATATCACATCACACCATTTAAATAAATGGTAAATAACACATGCTGCAATGAAATTGTTAGGGTTAGTATTTTATAATGTCAATATTTATGACATTATAGAATTTTTCATTAATAAAAATTTTAAAAATGTGAATAGCAGACCGATAGGACCGATGTAGGACAAGGAAAAAGTGAGAGGGAGTTGTGACTTCAGCCAGAAAGGATCACATATTTTGCATTTTGATTAAATATTTTGAAGACTTATTCACACTTATGTTTCCATATGTACATATTGTGTCACCTACATTTAATTTGGTGTTACATAATTCAAGGCACTAAAACTAGACAGTTTTCCTAGATGTCAAAACAAGAAGAGCAGTGATAAAGGTTATTGGTTTAAAGCTACAGCCAATAAACCTCCAAGGGATCACCTCCAGTAACTGAGTTTTGTGAGGGTTGAACATGTTTTGATGTTACCTTGGGTCACAGAATTCTCAAGATTACAGATCAAGGAACACAGTAGACTAAAAGCGGTTTTATCAGCTCTTGAGTCTGAATGGAATGGGCAAAGGTCTTTGAATGTGAAGGCCTTCATGTACAAAGAGTATAAACAAAATTCCTCATGGAGGTCCTTTCACCCATACCTCAATCTTCTCACCACACCCTGGGGTTTTCAGATGCTTTTGAAGTGCTCAGACTGGTTTACTAGAGGGTTGTGGTTTTGTATGGTCTGTTCTTTCTGATGTCTACAGAGTTTTTCCTTTCTTGGAGAATTTCCTCTGCAACGGGAAGTGGGTGGGTCAGAACTTGGATGGTACGTGGCATTTTACCTTTTCATCATTTAATTTCAACTGATTTGAAGCATTAACGTTTCCCTCTGTAGCATACCATGTTAATGGTTTAGTTCACCCAAAAATAAAAAAATTGTCATTTTACTAACAGTCATGTTACTGAAAACCCATAAGACATTTGTTCATCTTCGAAACATGCAAATATATATATTTTTTTAATGAAACCTGAGAGATTGTTCGTCCATTAAAAGTTATTACCACTAAAATATTGATAGTTCATAAAGTTTATGAAGACATCTTAAAAGAAATCTAAATGAATTGAGCAGTTTAATCCAAGCCTTCTGGATAGGTACACTCACTTTGTATGATGAACCAATTTAATTTAGCCATTTAGTCATATTAAAAAATGCAACCTACATGTTGTCTGGAAACACCATTTTTCCTTATCATTGCCGGACTGTCTGATTTGTTGAATCACAGTGTACTACTTTTCCTGATGTGGGACAAATACTATAATTATGTGCCTAGTGGAAGTGTTCCAATTGTGCTCCCACAATCAGGTGATCTTGTATTAGCTTTGATTGGTTAGCCAAGAGCTCTTACATCAAATTACAAGGGCCACTTACGGTAAAACTACACAGTCACATTTTACCATGGCACACTCTATTGTTGGTTATCGCATTTCCGATAAAGTGATACCCCTGACACATTTACAGAGCTTGGATGGTTTGAGGGAACGTGGCGTGTGCTTGCGAGGTTACTGAGGCTTGGCCATTGATTTGTCAGGGTCGGAGAGATTGCAGTCCTGGCTTGTTTTTTGGAATGTCATTTGAGGATATGTAGTCTCCTCCCCCTCAGCCTGCACCGAAACATCAGCATAACATCTTCAGCTTCCTCCGTTTGCGTCAGTGACTCATACAGTAGTTGTGTAACCATCTTTTACTAGACAGCTGCACTTCTATAAAATAAAAATAAACTGGTTTGCTCGTGTCCCGCTAACCTCTTCAGTTTGCTCTCACTGAGGGGTTTTGTTTGTTGCATTAAGTATTAGTGCACCATTCAGGATGTCCATTCGTAGGTGTGCATTATGTAACACTCGAACAGGGTTGGGACTTGTTTATCCCCAGCCAGTGTAGAGCGGCTTAAATCCTTTTTCTCCCCCGGAGCAGCAACCTTTTGGCCTAGTTTCCACATGACACAGTGCAGACCGCAGCAGCAGCCTGTGGGCCCTGCTAGAACAGTTGTCCGCTGACGCGTCCAGGTCTGAATCGCATCAGGCCACCCCAGCTTAACTCCGAACAATAAACTTGATAATGCCCTGCAGGTGAAAACAAACAGGAGGGGCCAAGCCGAGGGAGTGCTGGTGGCTCTGATAAATGTTGTAGCTCTAGATAGCTAGAGCTCAATGCTAAGGATTTTTTTCTACTGGCCCGGTCATGCCAGTGCTTCAATTTTTTACTTGCCCTGGCAAAATTTTCACTGGCCCTGTCACAAAAAAATAAAATAGTTGCTGTTATCACTGTTTTTGAACATTTATCTTTTATTCTAATAAATAAGCTGATATGACACCAAATTTTTAGACACCAATTAAATTTTACAATTCTCGATTCCAATTTTGATACCACAGCAAAAACTACTTGCCAAACAAATAAAAAGTTTTAACATTATTAAAGACTATTGAACAGTTAGTAAATAAGAAGAAATAAACAAATTACAAGCAATAGCACAATTAAATAGAACAAAGATACAAATTAAAAAGTGCCTTAGGTTTTTAGGTTTGTAGGTGTTTGGGTACAGAAACTGAATAATCGCATGTAAAATAACATTGCATATTCTTAACTTAGTGACGCACCAATCTTGATTTTTCATGGCTGATTTGATTTTTTATTTTTATTTTTTTTACAAACAAATTGCCTTATTTAATTAAGCAATATACAAGAAAGAATGAAAATGTCTGTAGCCATTTGAAATTGGGCAACCACTGCATTTTATTCACGAATGCTACACATGTAATGTGGTTTTTGATTCAAATTCATTTATATAATTTTAAAATCTGAAGCAAAAACAGAATAGTCTGACTTTAGCTTTGTGAAATTATACAACATAAAACACATCTGGACGTACCAGAAACAGCAGACGGACTGAATGAGAACGCAAATTCACTCTCTGACATCAGGTGGCGCTTCTAGAACAGCAGTAAAACAGCGTTTCCTTGGTTACCGCTTATTAAATACTACTACAGTATGCATTACAGATGCAAGATGAAAGCGCCATGTAAACTTTTCTGAAGACATTCAGTTCCCCTCAGAGATGCATTCATATAAACTCCCATCCTAATTCAAAAGGATTTTCTTCCAATATTGCGTGCACCATGAATAGTGAGTTTGCTCTGTCTGCTACAGTATTTTCTCCTCTTTGCTTCAGTCTTTAGCGTCTCTGGTCTCTGTTGACGGCCGTTTACAGACTTCGTAATATTTCCACACAAATGACATTTTGGAAAATGATTGCAATGCAGTTTGTGTGCAAGCCCGGAACAGAGACGGTATGAAATAAAATAAAAAATGTGTACTACAGTGTATAAATTATATATTGATTAATCATTGTTAGTGGTCGACCGATATATCGCCATGGCCGATATTTGGCATTTTTCAAATATCGGCATTGGCCGATAAGTTTTTCTGTTTGGCCGATGTGTTCGAGGCGGGACTTTTATTTTGACGGCGCTGAGAACGGCAGCGCTTGAGAGCACACACCGCTCACATTCTCCCTCTTTGGCCGATAATTCTGTTTGGCCGATGTGTTCGAGGCGGGACTTTTATTTTGACGGCGCTGAGAACGGCAGCGCTTGAGAGCACACACCGCTCACATTCTCCCTCTTGTTCGCTGTCGTCGTTCAGTTCTGTCTAATATAGATAGAACTGTTAAACAAAGGAATTAAAATTTAGGCTATACAAAAAAAGTATTATAACGATTGCTTTTAATATTATTAGTAATAGAAAGGCAAACATTATAATACTTTATAATTTGCGGTCAGCATTCAGCAAATGTGCATTTATATCATTTAAACAAATCTTTGAATGACTAATGAATATTTAATTTCACAAACCTTGCAAACTTAGTCGGATCCAGTTGAGAGATCATGTGAAGTGTGCATTTGTATCCTGCATGATCGTGTGTTCTCTGTGTGACGGTCGGTCCATGCAAATTGAACGCGGACAGGAGGAGAGTTCTGCTTGACTGGAGACGTGCGATCGACAAACTAAACTCGTGATTTCAAATTATGCTGCGCTTTATGCATTTGCCCACTGTCATATTCATGTCATTTTCACTGTGTGCTGTATGTAAAATGAGCATTTTCATTGCGTGCTATATGTAAAATGAGTGTTACCTTGGCTTTATTTTAAAAAAATAACAATAAATTGATTCCCAATGCACACAAACTTCCCAGGATACTGAGTGCCTTGTTGGTTACAGTGTTTACTTCCTTTTTAATGAGATTTTTATTAAATATTTATTATTTGTGAAAAATGCGTTGTCTTCTAAAGTATAAGTATGTTTATTTTGCACAATTATTTTAAATCCATTTTCAAATGATTTAAAATTTCTTAAATATAAATTAAATTTTTAAAAAATTATATCGGCCTCTCTGCTTTTAAGATATCGGCATCGGCTGTCAAAAAACCCATATCGGTCGACCACTAATCATTGTTAAAGCTACAAAGTTACTTCCCAAGATGGGTATTTTAACATAATTTTGTATGTATTTGTCCGTTCAAGGCGCCAACTGTCCTGAGCATCTTTCACACTGGTGACATGGTGATGGGACAGTAATGACTATGTATGTAGTAAACATGAAGTGAAACCAGGATTGTTCCTCTGCTCTAGCCACTAGAGTCCTTGTGGCCTTTAAAACCCATGGGGAGATTTGTGGACTTTTCCTCGCGTGTCTGAGGACTTTTACAGTACTAAAAAGTTTATTTTATTCTTGCAGTGTGGCTCAGCTGAATACATGGCCCCTGAGGTGGTGGAGGCCTTTAATGAAGAAGCTAGCATCTACGACAAGCGCTGTGACTTGTGGAGCCTTGGCGTCATCCTCTACATCATGCTGAGTGGATACCCGCCCTTTGTGGGTCGCTGTGGAACAGACTGTGGTTGGGACTGGGGAGAGCCCTGCCAAGCCTGCCAGGTACACCACTTACTTGGGCAAGATACATAGTTTTCTGGGAAAGTGTTCAGTATCGAAAGTACTGAAAGTTCAAAACTTTCCATTGAATCGTAGCAGGAATGACCTGGTCTAGCCATCTGGTTTGATAGTCAGGGTTTGACAGTCACTAAATCGTCACTAGCCCAATTGGGTTGCGTTGTCACAAGTTTATTCACAGACGTTTGCCAATTTAAAAAGGAAAAAAAAAAACCTTAGGGTTGATCCCAAAAAGTGATATTACTTCTACAAATTGATGTTTAATACCATTCATCATAATGTGTCCACAGTGCATGCTGTTTGAGAGTATTCAGGAAGGCAAGTACGAGTTTCCAGAGAAGGACTGGGCACACATCTCCCCTGCAGCCAAAGACCTCATCACCAAGCTGTTGGTGCGGGATGCCAAAGACCGCCTCAGTGCTGCCCAAGTTCTACACCACCCTTGGGTCAAGGGGGTATGTCCATTCCCTTCCAGCTCTAGGGCTTCTGACACTTTATTCAACCCAATTAATTATTTGCTGCTTTTACTGTAAATCATGTTTTGTGACCCATTTCTGTTGTTCTTCACCTTAGTGTGCACCCAACGCTGTGTCTGCATCTATATTACATCAGAGGTGAGTATTTTGCATACTAAATGTCCTGATATACTCACAGCAAAGTTCTTTTTCATTCTTTGCTTGGGGGGGGTAAAAAGATGTTTTGAAATACCTGAGCACACCTACCGGTTCAGTAATTGCCATGGAGCAATGGTACTGTAGTTCAAAGTTGTTTACCAGCCAGAGCAAACTTTTTTGTAAAAGTGAACCTTGTTTTATCCTGATGTTGTTGGAAATGGGGCAATGCCAGTGTTTTATTTTTTGTTTGAAGTATATTGGGGGCTTAGTGATACATTTATAAATTCCAGCAGCAATAGTTTTGACCATAAATAGCAGACCATTAATCATGCTTACCTGACCTTCAATGTTCTTTCTCCAGGGGTGGTAGTGCTCAGGACCTGACGTTCTTTGCGGGGCAGGCCGTAGCCATGAACCGGCAGCTGGCTGAGAGAGAAGAGAGTGAGGAGCAGCAACAGCTAGAGAATGAGCTCTCCTCGCCGCTTCTCCTCTCCTCTAGCTCCGGCTCCATGCTGCTGGCTCTTTCCTCCAGGTCCAAGCTGGCCCACCGCAGGAAGACCGCAGGCAGCCAGCACCGAGGGGCAGTGTGCGCTGCTGAACTGCGCCAGCTCCTCACCCCGCTTGTGACTGTGGGCGACTGTGCCTGATATCTACTATATTCTCCAGCCTCTGCTCTCCACTGACGACCTCTATCGGAATCTTCAGCTAGGCAGTGTGTTGACCTCTGACCTCTTTGCCCACTCACTTTGTGGGCTCTAAGCTCTTGTGAGAAGGTCTCATGTTTGTAGCACTTTAAAGCACCTCAAAGGCTCCCTGCAAACATAGTTTTGATTGGATAAAAAGCTTGTTGTGGCCAGGAAAAAGACTTGTTGACGTCTGAGAGTCCCAGGAATCTGTCGATTATAACAATGTTTATGAAAAACCTTGGGAACCAAAGGACTCAAGTTGCTTCCATTCATCTAAAGCTGGACCCCACCTATGCTATTTAATTTCTAAGCATCAGGAAAAACATTTCTGCTCTTTGCCTTTGAGCTTACATGGGACTCCCAGCGGCCGAAACATTTGATATGTACATATGCCACTGAGACTTATTTCTCCTTCATTCACTCACAAAGTGATATTGATGGCAGACTAAGACTATGTAACTGTTGCTGGGACTTAAGTGGCAAATGATTATTTCATTTTATTCAAGTTATCCAGGGCAGAAATTGCAGCCATGTTGTGTGGGGTTTCCCTAGTCTGAATTCATTTACCAATTTCACTCCACCGTGTTAACACTTATTTTCTGCCAAAAGCAAATCTCATCAATGTTTTCATCAGAAACCTCAGGATCTCTCTCTGAATGAGAAACCAAAGCAGATTTTAAAGCAGAAAGACTCATTCTATGTCAGTTCATTGGTGTTCTACGTTTTGTCCTCGCACTGGAAAGTTTTGCCTTTTTCAGGGAGACAGAGCAGTGCAGTGCAACTTTTGTACTTGGCCTCTCAGGAAAACAGGAATTGGTTGCATAATCATATTTCCTCCCCCTTTTCATTTCCTCATGCTTCCTCCCCCTTTTGACCTGAAATGCCATGCCATGGGGGGTTTAAGGAACAGCCAGCGGTGCATTTCAAGGTTCTGCAGCGAATTCTTAGAAATTCTCTACCATTTGCATTTCCAACTCAATTTTCACCGTTCATTTAGTTAGTCATTGAACGATTCGTGAATATGATCTCTGTCAATGACTCTATTCACTGCTTGAATAAAGGTGATAATTCCTTGAAAAGACCTTAAGTTCTCTGTTAGCCTCAATTTTGTACTTGTAGGCCGATATCTAATGAAAAGGTGAAGCTCCGATATGCAAGAATCCTCCAGACATACCAATGTGCCATGCTGCTATATTATTTTGCCCCGTCCTCTTTTTTTTATAAATTTTTATGTGCGTGCTGGAAAGGGAGATTTTCATCTTCCTTTTTTAAAGTGTCTGTTTATTTGTTTTTAAAAATTTAAGGATGTAGAACTTGTATGTTCTTGAACTTGAATGTGAGGATTTCCCCTTTTGTTTTTAAATTTTTTTTTTTTTTGGTCCTCAGTGACACAGACTCTTGTTACTGTTGTTCCACAATTTCTTGCTAAGGTGACTGTAGACACTATAATGTTTGATCAAATTTTTTTCTCATGTAGTGTCACCAGCAAATATGCAGATCAACCAGGAACAAAACCAAGTGCTCCTACTCTCTCTGAGTGAAGCAAAGACTATCATTATTGCTTTTTTCTAGTTTGCAAGTGTTTTGTTCTTGAAATGCATATACAGTTGATTCCTCTTTTTTTCTGATGGAAACCACCTTGGAATATGCTGAGTTTAGTCTTTCTTTCTGACAAAGACCTCATTATTTTTGTTTTTATTTTTTACTTTCAATTGCATTTTTTTTTTTTTTTTCATTTTTAATTTTCATTTAATTTTTGAACCCCCTCATACATGAAAATGACTAGTCTACACTTATTTTAAGGGCCAGTGGTGTAGCTTTCATGTTTATCTTGTATTTTCATGTGGTTGTACCATTTTTGTTTCTCATCTGACCCAGGGGGGCCAAAATAAAGAACATGGAAAATTGTTCAGCTAGAGTGGTCACAGCTTTCTTGTAAAAACACTCTCATAATTGACTACCTTAACTTATTATTATTATTATTATTATTAAGGGTTCAAGCGTGTTGTTGTTGTTGTTGTTGTTGTTAGAATGGCCAAGGATCAGCAATCTCCACGTAAAACTGATCGGGCAGACCAAAACCGTAAGTCCTTGAAACTTGGAGGGATGGTAATACTCGCACCGTCTTCAACATCACCAAGGCTCACCCCAATCGGCCTGACGGGTGCTACAGAAATCAAAAATACGAAATCGCTTATAACTCCTAAACCGTTAGTTGCAGATTCAAGTGCCTTATGTTGTTTGCTCACAACGATCGTCCAATTCGATTCGATCAATTTTCGGGTATTTTTGATTTTTTTGAAAAACCTATTTTTGGTACTGAATATCAATAATTATCAAAAAAAGTTGAACTATCGACTGTCCATCGCAAAGGGAGGCCAAAACATTCGAAGGAGGCGGGGCCACTTTTTTACTAAAACTGCTATAATTCTTGAACGGAATAAGATATCTTCACCAAACTTAGAACACATATGTAAGAGCACAATTTGAGATCACAGTACAAAAAAATGCGGCGTTTGGCCACTTGGTGGCACTATAACAGGGAAAAAGCTTAAAAACCGCTATGTACGCTACGCATCCGTTAGTCCTGACTTGAAAATTGGTATGGAGCCCCTTTGTCCAAATACCCACACTTGCGGTCTTGACCACTTGATAGCGCGTGCGTGCGACAGGAAGTAAGTGCGCAAGACCGTCCCAGACCTTAAAAACACCAAAGCGTAGTGCCCTTAATGCACACTAAAATTCCGCACTACCGCTCCGGAGCAGTATTTGAGACTTAAGCCCAATTTATACTTCTACGTCGAACCTACGCCGTAGCTTACGCATAGACGCACACCCATAAGCGCCTAACATGCACCTCTCCAAAAATCTAACAGCGCGTCAATTCTACGCAGACCGCAAGCGCTGTGATTGGTCTGCAAGAAAAATTTTGATCTGCCGTGGAACAAGTCCTTGTGGAGATTGAAAGAATGCCATCATCTCCTGTTCCGTTGTCTCCTTTTTGTAGTTTTAAATCATGATTTAATGATTTGATATTTATTTGCCGCCGTCACGGCTATAATGCTTCTCCGACGACCCGCTTCTTCGGCTTTTACCGTGGTACTGCGGGTTACACCAGCAACATGCCCGTGGACACTGCTGACTAGCGGTTTGCATGTGTACTGCACGTTGACTCGGACAACGACGCAGAAGTATAAATGAAAACTGACGCATAGCCTACGGCGTAGGTCCGACGAAGAAGTATAAATCAGCCTTTAGTGTATCCCATACACTAAGGGATACACTTTGCACTTGACCACGTCATATAACGTTTGGTCAAGTGCAAAGACCGCAAGTGCGGGTATTTGGACAAGGGGTTAGACCATGTGCTTAGATCAGTAAAATATGGCCCTATATTTCTTTGGTAAGTTCCCCTAAAATTGCATTTATAACCACTAGATGGCAGCAGAGGATCACTAATGGGCTCATTCAACTCACTAATATAGTGCTTTTCACAGGTTTTACTTTTGAATTTACATTTACACAGTATAAAATCACTGTTATAAGATTTAAAATCACATTTAGTCAGTTTTCCAATTTATACAGACATATCAGTTTTTTTAAATTAAGCCACATTATGATTACAGTTAAACCTGAAAATGATATATAAATTATTACAAAAAGAAGAGGACCAGTAAGCGAATTTATTTATCATTTATTTCAAATTTCTATAACTGCAACAAAATGTCTGTGTGTGTGTGTAAGCATGCTTAAGGAGTATTAATATAATAGTTTAAAGGGGTCATATGATGCTGCTAAAAAGAACAGTATTTTGTGTATTTGGTGTAATGAAATGTGTTTATGCGGTTTAAGGTTCAAAAAACACATTATTTTCCACAGACTGTACATTATTGTTTCTCCTCTATGCCCCGCCTTTCTGAAACGCGTCGATTTTTACAAACCTCATTGGTCTGAAAAGCGAGGTATGCTCTGATTGGCCAGCTATC